AAACAAGCTATATCACCAAATGGAGGACGCCCATTACACCAATCATTCAAAATTTAAATGCTTCAATATTAATAGATGTAAAAGTAAGTCCTCTGAAGCGAGAAAAACATAGCTTGAATTTCTGTGAGCATAAAAGCTTAAGCTGTTGATATTCACTAGGATAAGCTTAATGTAGGCTGAATTCCCAATAAATATATCATGCATATGATATTATTTAAGCAGGAAAATATGGTTTTGATTATGAATCAAAGTTACTCATAGACAAGGATAACATGCATACCTTAATGTAACAGCAAGGAAGAGGTGGCCCAACACGGCCCACAGTTGTGTCATCCCACTCGGTAAAAGTACCTCCAGCACATGTTTCTGTCAAGCCATATCCTTGACCTATGGGAGCCCTGATGAATAATCATTTGTGTAAGGAAGATGCACTTTGGATGCAACCAATAGAAGTTAAACTACAAGCATACTGCAAGGACATTACTACTAGAGCAACGTTTCAAAAGCAAAACTCGTGTTGAGAACAGAAAGGTTGATTTAGCAAGAAGACCAACCTATACAGTCAGAGCATTGGTCCCCTTTGGATAAACATGTGGATCTCCACAAAATTCCAATATGAATCAGAGTCAAGTCCTTGACCCATGAATCCACAACAGAAATTTGTTTCTCCTAAAACAAGTTGTTATTTCTCTTTTTCATAATGCCAAACAACTGCATGCATGAGTTCCATATCTCTAAACTCCCCTATCTAAAGAATTGAGATCTAATTTCTAATTTTCCATCCGACTGTGTATATCTATCAGTGACATCCCTTCAATTTTCCAACAATGAATTGTGCATTCATGGGCAACTTGTCCCCATTCAACTCTAAAGAATAGCCTCCCTCATCTAGGCAGAAGCAGAAGATAAGAAGATAAAACCATTATGGAAGAAAAAAGAAATATTTTTCTGGTCATACCTTATACAGAAGTGAATTTAAAATATCAGGAAGAAGAAAGGAAGCAAAGAAACAACAATGAGAAGCAACAGAACCAATTGGCTGTGTATCTTCTGAACCACATTTCAATAGAAATGGAAATTTCAAAACGAAGGTCCTTTTCTCTATTCACTTTCACCAAAAGATATTGAAGGATTTGATCTCAATGTAATTCGAAATATATCAATGAGATATATTTTATATTATGATCAATTGGAATTGATCTAAGACGAAACTGGAAGCAACTCGAGGCATCAAAACAATTGTATAACTAATGTTTATGCAAATAGACAAGACATATATGTAAATTTCTTCGTGAAATGATATCATCAAGCAGCTTTGTTTAACCTGTTTAAGACAAACATTACATCCATAACTTTCTTCGTCTTCATTCAGATGTGCCCACCAGAGGGCCACATCACACCATGTGGCCTGAGTATTATGTAAAGAAAATAAACAAGTTTTCCTCTTGACATGAGATAATCATTACCCCATGCAAATGTTGATGAAGCGTTGTGAATCACCAGATAAAGGAGCTCCTCCACAAAGCATAAAGCGGATGTGTCCTCCAAGTATAGCACGTATTTTCTTGAAGACAAGTTTGTCCCACAACGTTCTCTCCAGTCCCCAAGCACCAAACCAGCTTCCTTCTACAGCATCTAGCCTGCGCTTAAATGCAATACTGAAAAGATGCTTTGCCAAGCCTCCTTTCTCCTCAACCTAGAGTACATGTGATTATGAGTAAGTGGAGTAGTATCCTAAGCCTACAGCCCCCCAATAAGCATTTAAATTTAAAACAACTTTATACAACAAGACAATCAGTATGATGGAGCACATCACACCTTCTTAAGAACTCCATCTCGAACACGATCTAAAATAGCTGGAACTGCTGTCATCAATGTGGGCTTTAATGCAGATGCATCTCCCTTTGTTCCTTTCTTAATTTTATTTGAAGTATCTGTTAAAGTCAATGCTGAGCCGTAGCCAATTGCACATCCTGCAGCCATCATCACTGTCTGGACAACCAAAACACATTTAAGATAATCCTGGGAAAAATTGAAGAAGAAGATTGCAGATTCGAAGTTACCTCAGCTTCCAGTTCAAAAACATGAGCTAGGGGCAAATATGCCAAGAATACATCATTTCTGCCCAGTTTCGGGATCACTGTCATAACTCCAGCAGCAGTGGCTACAATGTTGCCTTGAGTCATCATGACTCCCTAAGTTTTTATAGACATTAAAATATTAGCCTGAGGGTAACCGTGCAACTTTGGAAGTGAGGAATAGCAGCTCAGCCACAAACAATCATGGCCATGAAGATATTATAGCGTGCACAGATAGAGAGAAAGATGTAGAAAAAATTAGTTGCATGTTTTCATCTAAAAACAAATAAAACTTTTAAAATCTATTCTAAGTTTACACACCTGTCTTGTGGTATAGATACATTAAGATACAGTCATTCATTCCGCTCCATGCTACGTTAAATAAACAGAAAGAATGCAGAATAATTCTAAGTTCTTTGCACATTTTAGCAAGGTCAATTGGGAAAATCAATATTAGCACCATCTCATATGGATGAAGAACTAAATAGAGCAAACCTTTGGTAGACCAGTACTGCCGCTTGTATACATGATAACAGCAACATCATCTTTGGAAGGTAAGCTTGGCTCAAGAGGACTTCTTTTCCCAAGCTTCTCAACTTCAGAGAAAGATGAAATATTCCAATTGTTCACACTTTCAGAGGCATTAGGATCATTTGGAGTTTCATCTTCTTCGATGTAGATGACATTCTTAAGAGTTTTTAGGCTTGAGCTTATTGTGAACAGCTTTTTTAGCTGCTTGGAATCGCAGATCAGGGTTGTCACTTCAGTCTGCCAAAATTTTGAAACTGTGAGAAGAAAAGGCCTATAAATTGTGTTCTGTTGAGCATTTCAGTAACAATTGACTGCATACATGATTCTTTTATATCCTAGCTAGTTTAGTCATATACCCACCTCATTAAGTGAGTGTATCAGGGCATCCTCACCTAAGGAAGCATAAATAGTGACAACTGTAATATTCTGCCTGAAACATCCCTGAAACATAAGACAACTGCATTCACCATCTGTTCATCCATGAACTTGAAAAAATAAAATAGGAGTTGGTATACACTATGAGCATGAGTTATGAATGCGACACCTGAAAAGCAATAAACCATTCCGCTCGAGTTTCCGAAAAAATGGCCGCACGAGTTTCCACATTATGGCCTAAATTAACAAGCCCAGATGCAAAGTTGCAAACTCGATCAAAAACAGCTCCGTAAGTTTGCCATTCATAATCTCCCAAATGCAGCTTCTCAAATTTCCTGCCATCACTAGCAGTAACATAGTCCCTACTAATAAGTTTTCTTGTTCCAAGAAATCTTGCTTGTGAATGCTTCCTACAAGACTGCTCAAATAGAGCAGCCATGGTTGTGGCTCCTGCCCATGGAACTTCAATCAATTCAGGTATCCGTGCATTGCGCATTGCATAACCTGCCTCACCACCAACAGTGGCAGGAACTCCTCTTTGTTTCCCCTTTTTCTTCCCCATTAAAATAGTGGAAAGCAAAACAGGTATAAATATTGCCATAATAATCGTGCCCACAATCCCAAAATTTCCATATTGTTTCTCAATTTCCAAGTAACCATTAGTGGCTAACTTCTCCATTGTTGATGAACTCAAGTTACTTGCATCAGAATCCTCCATTTTTATGTGGTTAATTGATGACTTACAGCATCCTTTAGAAAGCAGATGGAACTATCCTGATTAATTCATAAGGCTTAGCAACATAAATAATGCTTTTAACTATAAAAAAACTCACAACTGTTAACAATAAATAGTATCAAAAATCAATCCATCGAGATGGAAAACATCAAGAAGATTAAATGCTTGACATTTTCACTTACTGTCCACTACTAAAACACCTTACTGGAATCAGATAGAAGTAAATCAGGCCACTCAACTGAATTTTTTGAATATTTACTGATCAGTGGCACCAGACATGTGCCAAAACAGCAAAATTGCAATATGCACCTAATCATAAATTGCGCATGATCGGTCCTATACGCCCCAATATCAAAACATTCAGAAAACAGAAGAAACAATCATAAACACTAAAGAACCTTACAGGTCTTAACATGCTAATCGATTTGAACTCTAGTCCCTTTATCCATCTTGCAAATGGTAGAACCACTAGTTTCACTGATCGGAGAATAGTCATCACAAGTCACAACTGATTAATCTTTAGAAGGTTCAAAAAGAAAGCAAATAAACCAGACTGAAGAGACATAATTAACAGTGAAAGGAGTCCCAAATCAACGAATATAAAACCTACAATCATGAAAAGATCCCCGTACCAACCACGAAGTCTCTACCTTTAGGAAACAGAGGTTATTCGGTCAAAACCTCAAACGCAAGAAATTGTTGAGAGGGGAAAATAATGAAATCAAAATCATCAGAAGAGCACTAACTAAAGTGAAAAGCCTGTAATCAAAAAACGACATCCAATATACCTCTACGAACGAAGCCCGGAAGTGAGGAAACTAGAAATGGCGTTCGTCATTCTTATGCCCACAAAGGAAAGTGGTAGATGGGGCCACCTCGACAAGAAAAATCGCATGGGTATACATACACATAACGTAAGCTAAAATCGTAATCGTATATATAAACTTCACCAGAAAAATGTATTACATAATGTCATATTAATATTTTTATTTTAATATATATTATAATTATTACAAATATATCACTTTAGTTAATAAACATATAAATTTATTTAAAAATACATGTATTATTTTTAAAACTGATTATTCCGTTTCATCAGAAATAAACTTTGGTTTACCAATCGTGTGGGTGCGTGCTACGTGGTTTGCGCGAGATGAATAATAGATTGACACGTGGTGCACCTGAGTTTCTTCTCGTCACACGTGGGTGAATGCGGCACACAGCTCGAAATTATCATATGACGATAGGAACGGCGACGTTTAATAAGAAGCTGTGAATAGAGCGAACAAGCAAAAGAAGGTTCTAATGTAGGAGCGAAGTCACTGTCCGGAACCCTATTGTGATAAGGAGGGTCATTAATTTGTCACATGAAAAACATTACTAGCAGGTGTCCACACGTCCATTTACCTTCTTCAAGGACGAGTAAATGCTGTCTTTTTCTGGATCCTGGCAAGACAATTGGGCATGCTTCACATTCTCATATTCAATATTTTGTCTTATTTACCCATCTAATATATATGTATAAAGATATACCTATATTAGGACATTATTGCAAAATTGTTAAATTGAAATAGCTCGAAATATATTATGATTATTCAAAGTTTCTGTTAACAAAACGAAGATAGTCTTCGCTACATTTGAAGTCGGTATACCACCTAAAGTGAAAGGCCTGAAAATATAACTGATTATCAGCCTATAAATTTATGTAATGTAGCTTACAAGTCGATTACTCAAGTGCTGGTAACAGCAAGATAATTGCCGCAAAAACTATCTGCTGGTCCTACGTACTAATTATGAGGGACAACAGAAAAATAAACTATGCTCTTATTTCAATGAAGAGAATCAAGAAGCTCAGGATTGACTTTCTAGATCAACAAAGTCCACGGGACTGATTACTGGGTACACATTACTATGAAATCCAGCAGCTTGCCAAAGCTTTTATACCAAAATAGTTGCCAATTCAATGCCTTACCAACCTATCCGCAAGTTGCCATGAGGAAATCATCTACATCAGGCAAATATCTTGCACATATTTTACTCTGCTCCAGGAAAATTTATTTTCATAGGAACTACTTAGAGCCGTGCCTAACACTTTCTTCAGCCCGTGTAAGTGCATTTGTTAGAACATCTATTGTCCAATCTTTCAAATCCTCCTGCAGAAAATGCAGATTATATATAATCATTAGTGTCCTTCCATTGTAAACTTAAAAGAACAGCGGACATTATTTTTTCAAACGAGAGGAGAACAAAAACATTCATATAAACAATACAAATTGTGTTTCAACCTGGTGGCTCAAGATGCTGGAATGAAAATTTTCCGGTTCTCATTTTCTTGCTGAATAAGTGCCAGTACAGTTTTCCAAACCAATTCGACCAAAATCATTTCATTTTACGAAAACCTAGCATGGAATATTGTACCAGAACCACTGCAACTAGGTTTGATAGGTATCAAGCTCTCTAATAATATGAATAATAAAGATAGAGTGAGCTGAGAAAAGTTGTTTAACGATGAAGCTCAGTCACAAAATGAATCTATGCTAGGATGAGACAATAATATAAATTCAATGCTTGAAAATCAAATCTGTAATGGGCAGATGTTTAGCGCTAGGATGAGTTGCTAAAATTAATTTCTTGATGTTTCATCATTCTCTGATGGTTACACCAACACAGAATTGGCAGATGTTTAGTGCTAGGATGAGTTGCTGAGATTAATTTCTTGATGTTTCATCATTCTCTGATGGTTACACCAACACAGAATTGGCAGATGTTTAGTGCTAGGATGAGTTGCTGAAATTAATTTCTTGATGTTTCATCATTCTCTGATGGTTACACCAACACAGACCATAATCACTAGGTGGCAAGGCTCATAAACTTACTAATGTTAGCTGCTTTTTAACTAAAAAATTACCTACTTAAGACTCAAAGCATGACATCAATCACAGGAAGTGTAAAACCTTGCAACATATAAAGTTTGCATTTCCAACTAAAGGTGTAATAATCTCTGTTCACTTGAAACTGTGCTACCTGTAGAAAATGCTGTAATAAATTAGGTTCAGAGTGGAATATTCCTAATAGGTGAAGTGTCATTCTTCTAGAAGGTGAGGTGGCATGATAACAACAGAAATATGTCATCACACCTTCCTCACATTCCTGAAAAGATGCCTCCTTTTTTTTCTATAAATGGCACCCTTTGGTGCCTGAAATTAATAAGAGAAAAACAAAAGAGAATTCCTTCACAAAAATCTCCATTCACAAAACCATTCATGGTATCAGAGCTCTAATCCGAAAGCTTCCTTCAACTAAGCCAGAATTCAAATGGCCACAAGCGAGCTCAATTCCTCTCCTTCCGAAGTCTCTTCAGGTCCCTACCTCCCTGCGACTCCGAACCACAGCCTAGTTGAACAAGCATCACCATTCATCACGGGGCACAAACTGAACAGACAGAACTACCTTCAATAATCAACCTCTGTCTTACTGTTTATTTGTGGTAAGGGCCGCGACGATTACCTCACTGGTGAAACTATCCCTCCCGAAACCAGCGACCCAAGTTTCCACATCTGAAAAATAGAGAATAGCATGGTAATGTCGTGGCTTATTAATTCAATGGTGCCCAACATTTGTGAGAACTTCATGCTATATGAAACAGCGAAGGAAATCTAAGAAGCGGCTCGCGAATCGTACTCCAGCAAAGATAACGTCTCCGCTGTCTTCGAGGTGGAGTCGACTCTCCATGAGCTGCGTCAAGGTGAGGTTTCTGTTACCCAGCACTTTAATTTACTAATCCGAAACTGGCAGCAACTGGATACCTTCGAGGAGCATCAATGGAGTTGTCCAAATGATGCTCAGACATTTAGACTCTTTGTTGAGCAGAAAAGAATTTTCAAATTCTTAATGGAACTCAACAAAAGTCTGGATGTGGTTCGTGGATGGGTGTTGGGAATGAAACCACTACCCTGCATCTGAGAAGTGTTTGTAGAAATCCGAAGAGAAGACAGCAAGAGGCGGGTGATGTTGGGAGAAGCTCAGTCTATCTACTCTGTCGAAAGTGTCTCTGCACTCACCACATGGTCTGATTCCCGTGGAAAGAAGGAAAGGTCGTACTGTGATCACTGCAGGAGACTCGGCCATGTCCGCGAGAAATGCTGGAAGTTGCACAAGAAACCCAGCGAGAATAAGACCGAAAGAACAGAAAGCAATGGAAACCGTCAAAGAAATATTGTTGTTTCCACTGTTGAAGAAAATGTTGCAGAAAGCAGTCCGTTCAATGCTGCACAAATGGAGGTCCTTCAACAATTATTCAAGCAGAATTGTTTACCTACTCAAACCATGCATGCTTCGGTGGCACAAAAAGGTAAAGTAACAATTGGTTTGACAGTATGTTCTTCAAAACAAAACACATGGGTGGTTGATTCTAGAGCATCAGACCATATGACGGGTAATGTATCCCTATTTCAGAATTACAAAACATCATATGAGGATTT